GAAACACCCGGGCGTTTCGGAGGGGTTCTTGTCCTTGCCACCGGTACCGCGGGAGGGTTACCCGGTAAGCAAAGCAGCTGAAAACGCCCGGTAGTCGGTGTGACCGCTCCGTGCCCTCCAACACCCCCGCCCCGGCCCGGGGGCTCCTCGCCCTGCGGGAGGGGTCCCTAAAGGCAGCTCCGTGCTTTCAGTGCCCTCGGAGCACGGATCTCTGAAAATCCGGGTCGGTACGTGCCGAGGAGTTCTCACAAAGCGCGCAGATCCGTAAAAAGGGAAACTTTTTAAGAAAGAAAAAAAAAAGTGTTGCTTGGCCTCGCCTAGGGAGTAGAAGTAGAACAAGGAGGGGAGGATAGAGATTGGAAATGAGAGCCGGGTTTTTGCCCTCCAAAGAACAACTGAAAGCTTGGGTTTTTGTTTGTTTGCGACCCGAGTCTGGTGGCAGTGGTCTGTAGCACAGCACGTTCTTTTGTTGGAAGAATCCGGTAGAAAAACTTCCTCAATGTGGTCAATGTGACCGTGGTTGCTGAAGGGTTGTCTCTGTACGTGCATTTATAGCCTGATTCTGGGAGATACTTAACGTGGATTTGATTGAAAGTCGCCGTATTACTCTTCTAGGCAAGACATCTGTACATTTGTGACTTCCACAAAAACTTAATTCAGAGTGTGAGAAACAGAAGAAAGAGGAAAGGCAGCGATGATGATGGTGACTCCCCAGTGCAAGACATCGACACTCCAGAGGTAGCGAAGTAGTTGTTTTTTTTTCTAATTGTTGTGTTAAGATTGTGCTTAATGACTACCAAGTCTGCACGGATACCCCATTCCCGCTCTTAGAGCTCTCCTTACTTCGGGGTGTTTGGGAAAGGGAAGACTCTGGATTTGCTCAGTTATTAGCGTAACAAAATCTAACTGAATTTTATGGTACGTTTTCTCTATTAATTGTGCAGAGTAGGATGAACAAGAGTCTCCGGATTATTTGTAAGTGTCTGCTTGTTCTCTCAGAAAACTGCTGTTTTCAGCTTTCTCCTTCTCCGTGCTTCCTCTCCAAAGCGGTGCTGTGCCACACACCAGCAGACTCTGTCTTCTGCAGGAGTTGACAACTGGAAGGGAATTGCACATAGGGCTTGGGATATAAATGCTTCGCTGCCTCGTCCCTCCGATCCTTTCCTTCTGTGCTAAATGTGTTACAGATGGTTCTTGCAGTTACTCCGTTGCCTCAGTCACATTACAACACAGAAGGTTTCATGATGGTAGCTCTTTGTTTTTTTCCCCATCGTTGGGGGAAGAGACATTTGGGAAGCTGTGCTCCAAAGGAGTGGAGAAAGGTGGTGTTTTTCCAACCTGTTTTCTCCACTGCAGGCCAGGGAAACCTCACCCGTTAAAAACTACAGCTTTCGACCTTTTCCCAGGATAGTGGGAGAGACTGCAGCTAAGGCTCTCCTTTTCCTACATGTGCTCTGGATTATTTCTGCTACAGCCTAGCTTAGCAGGTGCTCTTCAGTGTTAATTTTAAGCAGAGGCTGTCATGCCTACCTGATCTCTTCTAAGAGGGATTTTTAAAGCATTCTTCAGAAATAGCTCCGTAAGTGTTAATTTAATGGCATCCTTATGGTCAGCATCTGCAGATACTGGCAGCGTAAGTGATGAAACTGTACAAGAATCCATGCCTAAAGGCACGTGGCTCCAGTCTGAAGGCTCTGGCTAAGAGGATTTTAGGGGATTGGGAGTAGTTTGATACTGGGCTGTGTTGTTTGTCTGTTAAATATCTGGGATAGCTGCTTTGGAAGTTGTGTCTAAAGCTAATGCTCCATGTGACTTCAGGTAGCTCCCTGGCACAGTGGTAATCGCAGCTCTCCTGCAGGCCTGTTTTGTTTTCTCCTGCAAGGATTATAAAACATGTCACAGCTGATGGATATCTCTAGAACAAGAAAGCGAGCTTTTTTTTTTTCAGTGGTACTACTGCAGGAAAGAAGGCTGCCTGGGAAGTATTTTTGAGGAGTTTCAGCTGGCTGTGTGGTCAACAGCAGTATGTTCATCCCGTATGATTATTGTGTGCCTTAGATGCCCGTTCGCCCTTGACCTTTATTTTCAGTTGCTATCCAGTTTACTAAGGAAAAAAAAAAGCGTTATTCTTCTGAAGACTCACAAGGCCCCCCCGTTTCCATCTCAGTCATGACCGTCGTTACCTGTTAGAAGTGATTCCTACAGGAGAGGAAGAGGCTTCTGCGGCCCCCGTAGTTTCTGGGACTTGGTGGAAAGCTGTCGCTCCTCTGCGTGATGCTCTGGGGCGTGGGTGCCCCACTCTGTCTTGTAAGCTTCAGAATACCAAAGGGTACCCGTCCTCTGTCAGGCGAGGCGGCATCGCAGCAGGTCTGGCCAGGTTACCGAGTATACGGTAGCACTGTTGTTGAAGTATTCCATAGGGAGACTGCTAAATGAATTTAAAGCAAAGGTGAATGCCTTACCCAATCTCTAATGCAGGGAGTTTGGGGAATACTACCGTAATTGCCACTGATGTAGCAGAATTCCTCATTCAGCCTGCTTTCTCAGCTTGCTTGCCCGCTCTCTCCTGCGTTGTCAAGGAGGGTGGGAGGGGAAGCTGTTGCTGGGAGAAGTGACTGTTGGTCGGAATTCGTGGGACTCGAAACCGAGGGAGTACTGGGTTAAGGTTGTACGTTTGTATCCCGAAGAGGACCTTGTGCAATTCTCTCAGCTGTCAACTCACGTTGAAAATTAGTTTTGGACAACTATGCCCTATGCCCGTGCACACAACTGCTGCCTTGTGCTTAGGTAGCAGGGGTGTGTTTGGAGAGCAAGAGCAAGAAAACTTTGCGCTCTAGACTTTTTCCTGGTTCTAATACATGTTAGATCGTGGTGGAGACGTGCTGTATCTTGCATGTAGCTTGTGTAAAATTTGGTGGCCAAAATCGCAATATAGGAGCCTCCTTTGAATCGGCATCTTCGTAGACGTTACGTGGAAGTTGTTACTGGGCTTGGTGTTATCAGGCTTGAACGGGGAAGCAAACAAAAAAAGCCTCAGAACTGATTAAAGTACGATAATGAGTTCCAAATATTGTCCACAGTTATAGGGAGGCAGAGCCATGCTCGATAACGACGAAATGCTCTTAAACCGAGCTGGGCTGTTTTCCTTTCTGCTGGAAGGTGCGGGGTGGAGTTTGTTTTTTGTCAAAATGAGATCTGCTGAGCTGAAGGTTTACAGTTACGCATCTGTGAGATTCCAAAATGTTTTTGAGAGGCGAGCTATTAATGACCGAATCCTTTTCAGTTACATCAGATTGTTTTCCTCCCCTTTCTGCCCCCCCTCCCTTTTCTTCTAGGTTGATTTATATCAGTTACAAGTAAACACACTTCGAAGGTACAAAAGACACTTCAAGCTACAGACCAGACCGGGACTTAACAAAGCACAGCTCGTTGAAGTACGTATGAGTGTTTGTTCCATAATAGAAAATGCAACTTGCTATGGCGTATGGCTTTCTATACAATGAAATCCTCCGTAGAGAGCACATGTAATCTGGATTTTAGGAGAACAAAAGGGAACTGCTTATCTGGCTTCCTTCGTTGGCCGCAGCTCCTGAGCCAAGTAAATCAAAAGTAAAAGCTCTTTCCAGGGGAGGGATTCTTAACTCCCAAAAAAGAAAACACGAGGCGTGGAGTTGGAATGATGTAAGATGATCTGCGTGTCCCTGAATGTCCCAGAATCAGGGATTTATAGCCTGTGCATCAGTCGCACCTTCACCCAAAGTGTCCTACTGAAAAGAACTAGAAACTGAGAGGTGGCCGTGAAGTTCCAGTGAGGTTCAGACGTTGCCTTAAGAAGCTAGTTACTGCGAGCCTACGCGCTTCTGTGTATGTAAAGTACGGAAACCTGAAAAACAGGCTTCTATTGGTAATTAATTCTGTTAATTAAAACCACTGGGGTCTGCCATCAGAAAAACGAAATGTTATGAAATTAGGTTTTTTCGTACCAATATTTCTAAGAGTGCTGAAGCTGTGTGTGAGTACAGCTGTACGTAAGCGTCTTCGCTGCACGTGAGTGTCATTTTAAAGGAATTCCTCTGCGCTGCAGAGGTGCAGTTAGCGCCTGCCGAGGTAAATACGGGGGAGAACCGGTGATCCTCTCTTAACAGGGAGGTATAGCTGCCGTTTTTTTCACTTTTGTGCAGTGGTACACTCGGTTATACTTCGGCGCAGACATTTTGTTGGTCTCTCCCTTAACCTGTGGGGATTAAAGGCAAGGTTCTTAAACGTGTGGGAGATCTCAAGGCTGAGCTGTGAAAAAGAGTGCTGCTGCCGCTATGAGTAAGAACGTAAAATCAGTCTTCCGTTTTCTTACACGTGAGTTGAGGTGCAGCTAGCTCTTGAATTAGCAGGAGTGCGGTTTGAACAAGCACGAGCAGTTTTTGTTCTGCGAAGCTGGCGTTTCTGAGGGTCTGCTTTGGGTACCTCTCGTGGGGTGTTTGCACTAGCTTATTCTTACGCTGCACGGTGTACGTGGGCAAAGCTGCTGCTTTGTGCTTGGTTTGACTGACCTGCAGGTGTTTGAGGTGTAGCGGCAGAACTCCCTTAGTTTGCAGTACACGTGGTTCCCCGTAACCTGTCCGAAGGGACAGCGGACACTTCTCTAGCTGTTACTCAAAGTCCACTTCAAAGGACTCTGTCAAACTGTTTCTCTGAGGTTTTTTTGAGGGTGAGGTTTAGAAAGCTTCTTAACTTGCTAATTAGGCAAAACATTTATACTTGCAGCCAGCGGTAGTTAAATGAGCAGTCCCATGTTTCTCGCTTGCTAATTTTAATCTACCGAAACATTCTGCGAAAAGCCAGCGAGTAGACTGAGGCAAGTATAATATTTTGCATGTTTTCTTTTAAAGCTGGTGTTCATTTTGATGAAGGGAAAGGCTTCTGGAATGACAGAAGTGATTCGAGAACTGTTTAGGGATTGTCATATTTTAGTGGTTATAGCATGGTGGGTTTTCACTGACAGCTCATTCAGTTTTGAAGAGCTGACTGTTCCATTATAATTCTCAAAGATTTTTGTCTGTTGATATTCTATAGTCATGACTTGCTTTATAGTCAAGCTTTAACTACACAGATCTAACGATACTCCCATGCTTGTTTTGAGAAATCTCTTCTTTTTTTTTTTTTTTCTCTGGAAATTTTCTGGGCTTTTTACTTTGGAAATTAAGGTACAATCTGCTATATTTAGTTGGTAGTTTTCGATACAATAGTTCCTGTTTACCTTTTTTGACTGGTAAAGATTTTTGAAGAGAGGTAGCTTTTCCTTTTTTCTAAGCTGCTTGATCCATCTTTTAACGTAGTCGATTTAAATCTGAATCCTCAGTTTCAGCGTATGAGAGTGGTTATTTAATTTCCTTGCATTTTTCCTTTATAGATAATTGGCTGCCATTTTAGGACAATTCCAGTGAATGAAAAGGACACCTTAACATATTTCATCTACTCGGTGAAGAATGACAAGAACAAACCAGACCTAAAGATGGATAGCGGAGTTCATTAGATGGAAAAGGTTGGGACTGAGACTCAGGCTGCAAATCAAAAGACTGAGGTTTTGTTGGTATGCAGAAGCTTTCTTTGTAACGTTTTCTCCCCAGAGAGTTTGTCTCTGTTTTATTTTTCATAACCTTGCTAATTTGTTTGAAAACCGTCTCTTATGAAACAAATTTCCTCAGCAAAAGTATTTTAAATAAATATCACTGATATTGTTGCTCAAGTGGGTGTGTCTGTAACTTATTTAGTGAGTTACTTGTACCTAATAGTTAAGCTTTGACTAATTATGTAATAATATTAAAATATTTTTCAATTAAAGTGTGCCAAGGATATATTTATGAATGTACTTCAAGTTCTCATGATGCCTTTTGAAAAAAAAAAAGGCTGGAGTAGACTTGGCAATAGGTTATTTTTCTTCAGGTGAAAGGCTTTAAATGACAGTTGCAGTTGTTAGCTAGGCAGAAGTGGCTGAATAACATTTTCTTTTTCCCCTTTGGAAACGAGAATTGATGGGGGCTTTTCTGATTTGTTTATTCATCTTGTCATTGCTGGGATATGTGCTTCCAAGCACTGAGGCCTTCCTGCTCCTGTATGAAAATGGAAAAAAAATGCAGCTCTCGAATTTCAAAGCTATAAGTACAGATGAAAAGACTGCTGCAGCTTACCGTGCCGAGAAATCCTTCCGCTCGGTAAGAAATCCTTTAGCTGCTGACTTTTCCATTCATCTGCGTGGACTGCCGCGAAGAACTTAATTGGAGAATGGAAGACGGAGTCTGTGCTGGGTCAATATGGTCTCTTCTATTAGGTGTACTATTTCGGTTTTGTTGCATGCATTAGATCAGGCCTGTCTTAAACAAAAAAACCCAAAACGAAACAAAAGCTGCGCCCCGCCCCCCCAAAAAAAAAAAAAACCAACCAAAAAAAAAACCCAGAAAAAACAAACCCAAAACTTATAGTAACATATAAGAAAAAGTACCCAGCAATACTTTTGCTTTTAATTGAATATCTTGGCAAAATCTGATGTTGAAGATGATGTTATGAATGACTTCTTGTTTTGTCGTTTAACTATTGTGCCAGTCTAAATGTGTGCTGTATGGAATAGGATTTCTTTCTGCTTTAAGCCGTGTGCATAGGTTGAAGCAAAGGCGGAGGGAGAAGAGTTTTCATCTTAGAGCAGAGGAGGACACTGCTTCAGCTTGTTCAGTTAGCACTTGTGGCAACTTTTAACCTTATCAGATGTCTAAAAGCTTTTTCTTAATTTGGGGAAAATAAGAAAGTAGTATTTCATTGGTCTAATCTGATTGCTATTCATCTTGTGAGTTTTTTTGAAAACTACTATTTTGCTGGCATCGCTGCAGCTAAGATGCTTCGCTTTGCTTTTGTTTTTTTTTTGTTTTGACCTGTGACCCTTGCATAGAACTGAATGATGATAAACCTCTAACCTCGAGCTGGCTGCCTTCCCAGTAGCTCTCAGCAGCCTGATTTCTTTCACTTGCAGTGTCTTACGTATTTCCACAATAAAGTGCTGCGGTATTGGCCTAAGTTCAAGATGGTTCGCGATATCTCGCTAGTGGCAGCTAAAATGGGTATTCCTTTGAAGAGAGATGTCTTAGTGCCCGTTTCGCTACAGTGACTGTAAAGTTGTTTGCCAGATATCCTTTGCACAAATTCAGCTTGTCGTCTGCAAAGTCCTAGTTGTATCAACAGCCGGGGAACCTGGCCGTGGGTCGGACAGCCGAAGGATAAAAGCTTTTTCTCTGAGTGCGTGGCAGGGATGCGTATTCTCACCTGGGTCCGGCAGGTCCGGCAGGACCTGTAGAAGCAACTTGGAGAGAGAAACAAAAGCGAGTTTCTGTGGGAAATCGGGCTTAAAGTAGTAGCCTAGGTGACCCTATCCTGCTGTGTGTGGAAAGGGGCAACACTTTGCTCGGGTGGGTTATGGATTTTCCAGGAGTGGTGGAAGGGAAGTAACTGAAAACCGCCTACTAACTTTACTCCCCAGATTAGATTTTTTGCTTCTGCTGCTTTGGAAAGCTGTGAATGCCAGGCATATGCAACATGATTCATGTCGAAACGAGATGGCACAACTGCTAGAAGCTTACAGAGGGCTCTGCACAAGAGCAGATACCATATGTTTTCTTATGACTTTGGATATTTTGACTGTGGGTTGCCAGATTTATGGGGTATTTTTTACCCTTAACTGATGATTTGGTAGGAAGCCCAGGGATAATTACACAAACCAGGCTTAAACAGCCTAGTGACACAAACTGTTTGTTTAACAGTCAGTAGCCTAAAAATTACTTGGCAAAAATAGTACGCACAAATTTACTTGAAACATTTATTATTAGCCATGTATAATCACCCCCGGCCGCCGCTATCCAACCCTCGTTTACTAACAGAGCAGTCATCAGGGTGTCACATACTGCACGTGAAATAAGTCTGGTATAAGCTGGTGGTAGCAGGTTTTGTACTGTAACGGTGTAAGATTATTAGATGAACAGTACACTTTTTGAGTGGAAAAGCCGAAGTAGTTACTTCAGTACTACACACCTGCTGTATGAGTGACTTGATAGCTAAAGAGTTTTTATAGGTAAGGCAATAAGCCAGGCTTACTGCCTGTAAGCCTGGCTTGTTCAGGTGGCTTTCCTTAAAGTTTGAAGGACGTACGTGCTTGGCTGGGTTTTTTTTTCTTGTACTGCAATCAGTGTGGGCAGGAATGAGAGGTGACTGTGTATCTACAGCCTAGGTCATGGTACCTCTTAAGCATTAAGATGATTTCTTCTCATATTTTGAGTTACCTCTTTGTTTTCACTTCCCTAGCCTTTTTTTTCTTACAGGGCTAGCCTAAAAATAAAAAGCCAGCATTTTAACTTAATTCTGGGGTACTGTAGTTCAAACAAGGCTTGATTAAAAAAGCTGCTTAAGTGTGGGTTTATATGTCGCCTTAACAGACCTTGCATCAATCCCATCCTCTTTGGATGTCTTTCTGAATATATATACATGCTACGGTAACTGTTCTAGTATTTTAAACGTTCAATGGTAAGATTAACTAATTCAAGGTTTTACAGGTTGCATGGTTAATGCAAGTGACCAGCTAGACACAGTTAAGACCTAAATGTGCTTTAGTACTATTAATGTGAGTGTTGACTTTTTTTTTCTCCAGTGGAATTTTCAGATGTGAATGGTGAAAGTTTACCCTTGGCATGTGCATGGCTTTTTGTTTAAGATGCCTAAACAGAATGTGGGAGCCTGTCTGCAGAAGTGCCAGGTACTGCGTAGCTTCAGCTTAATACAACATTAACCGTGTGGTGGCAATAAGGCAACGGAAAGCTGCACTTGCAGTAGGTTGCTACGAGAGTCACGTTCTTGACTACGTGAAGGCTTAAGCTTGGAGTTTCTTCATCAAAACTAGTTGAGAATGTTGTGCTGAGTAACATGAGTTAGTTTTTTTGCTGGGGATGCATATTAGGATGCATTAAGAGCTTGTAAAGTCTTTTACACCGTTACAAAAGTGAAGGCAGCTACCAAATTTGAAAGGAGAACTTCTTACATATTTGAAATTGCAAAAAGGTGTAGAAAGGAATCTCTTCTGCAATCTAAAAAGAGGCACTGTCTCGTGGTTAGAAAGGACTTTTTTTTTTGGTGGTGGTGGCTTTGTTTTTCTGCTTGGAAGCATTATTACGTGATAGCAGAATGACATCTGTTGTCATCACCAGCAGACTTGATGTCCATCACTGACTGTTGCAGGGGATCACCAAAGATATCTTTGGTCCGAAGAAAATATCCCTGGAAGATATTATCAGATATTGAAATAGTTAGATCATTGGTCTATTGGAGCTTTATCAGATACTTAAATAATTAGATCGTTGGTTTATCAGAGAAACTTGGGTGTTAAGAGGAGCACATATAAAAAGTCACTTTTGCTTGCCTATATGATGCCATCGCATTTTAGTGTCTTAATAAGTTTTGAAGTGTTGATGTTTTAATCTAAATTTCCTGAAGTAAAGATGTTGCTGGCAAGCTGAACGAAATAATACTTCTTACTACATTCTGTTGATTCAAACCAGTGTGGACTGGTGGTGTTTATAAACTCAACATTAATTTTGTTGGGATGTACCTTCTTTCTGTAAAACAACAACAAAAAGAAACCCCCACATTCAGCGACAACGTCACTGTTTGGCATTGTCAGCAGTGCAAGCCAGAGGAGCGTCGACGTTCTTGGGCTACAGCTTTTCCCTCCCTTGCGGGCATTGGTGAACCCCTGTTTCCCCTGTTTGCTTCTCTACTTTAAACAGCTGCCTTCATGGAATCATTTATTCAACTTAGAATAGCAATACGATTCTTTAGCGTGGAGCAAAAATCAAATGGTTTTGTTTATGGTCCTGAAAAGATCCTTATTGCAAAGTGCTGCGAATAAGGATTTGATGTAGTTCTCATGCTTTGTTTAGATCAAACAGAGGAGTCAAATGCTGAAGTCCCCTGTGATAGGACATGTAGGTCTACAGAATACACTAAACATGTCCTAGGTGAGCCCTTGAAAAACAAACCCTGAGAACTGGCAGCGTACCAGGTATTTGGCTGTATGTTGATATAATTTCAAACCATTTGCATGTTTTTAAAATGATAGCTTATTCCTCCAGTGGAAGCTCTAAACCGATGGAAATAGAATGGGCGGTCATATAGAACTGCACGAGCGCGTATGAAAGGAGCATGGTCTTACTTCGGGCAGCAGAGCAATTCATTCCAGTTGCAGTAACAGATCACCTCGCAGCCCTTCCCTTCCCAAAAGTGACCCTGCAGACCGTTGTCGATTTGCCGAAGGTTCGCCGTGCCCTCGGGGATGCTCTGGCAGTTGTGGTCTTTGAGGGCCCTCTTGTAACAGGAGGGACGCGGGGAAGGCGCGGCGGGGGTACCCAGGAGGGTGCTCAGCAGGAGCAGCGCCGAGACCGTCTTCATTTTTTGCGAAGCTTCCTGCGGCGGGGTGCTAAAGAGAAATGAGGTACGTGACACGGGTATCGCTGCTGACCAGATCCCTTTTCCCCAGTTTGCTTTCTGGCTTACGTTTTTTCTTCTCTTTTCCTGTGAAATTTTGGAGGTCTGAGCCTGAGTGCTGAAGAGTGTTTTCTCCTAGGAGGTAAATAATATTGCAGCGGAATTGATATTCATTATTTTCTGTACAACCTTGGGAAGCCTTTCATCGGGAATTGAGGCTTCTGTTGCTGG